AGATAAAATATCAGAGCTTAGTCCTCAGACTTGATTTGAAAAAGTAAGCTCCAGAAGTTATAAAGGAAATGATAAATCTGACTAAAAAGAAATTATAATAAACTCATGTGTAAAAAAGTTATATATTTAAAAAATATAAACTAGCAAAATATTTGCAATATATATGACAAAGGGCTAATTTTTTGAATATACAAAGAACACATACAAATCAGCAAGAAGATGAATTACTTAATGAACAAAGGACATAGACTATTCAGGAAAAAAGACATACAAATAGGCAATACATGTGCAAAGATGTTCAACCTCATTTACGATTAAAGAGTGAACATTAAAATAGATACCATTTGGGCAAAGAATAAAAAGAGATTAACATAACCAGTATTGATGAGGGTGTGTCGTAACTGGCATGCTCATACACAGTTTATGTAAATGAATGTAATTTTTGAGGAGGAATAACTGATATAGCATGTTATAAAATAAAAGACCCTTTCACTCTCACTAATAAAAATTATCCTACAAATATACAATTCATAAATGCACAAAGTTCTAGATACAAGTGTGTTCCTAAGAATTGTTTGTAATAGCCAAAAAGTCCATTAATGAAGACTGTTTAAACAATGAGAGACTCATCCAGTGAAGGATGAGACGGCTACGTATATTGTTAGAAAATGTTCACATCATATTGTTAAAGAGGAAAACTTAAGAATAGTAGATAGAGTACATTTCTGTTTACATGAAGAAGATATAAATTAGCTTATATATGCATAATAATGCTCTAGAAGGAAACAATTTTTGTGATTGTTAGCACTGAAGATGCAGGAAGGAAAACATTACTTTTACTGAATTCTCTTCTGTACTGTTTGAAAATTTTACCATGAACATATATTACATTTACAATTAAGAAAGGAGGAAACTAAACCTTAGTTAAAAAAATTTGAGCAGCAAATAAGTCATTACAATATTTCTGAAATTAGTTTTAAAAACGAAGTAAGTTATTATCTTAAAAGATGAACTTTCCTTTGCAACTGTTAGTTACATCATTTGGTGATTCCTCCATAAGATAAAGGAATTTCTCCATTATTTTACTTATCTAGTGCTTAGTAAAGCTTACTTTATGTCAGGCACTATTTTAAGTGCATTAATTATTGTATAATCATGGGTGGTTATTATTATTATCTCCACAGTACAGATAAGAAAATTGAAGCACATAGAGGTAAAATAACCAAGGTCACATAGCTAGTAAGGTCTAGAGCTGAGATTCAAACTCTGGACACCTGACTTTGGGGAATCCATACCTTAACCACCATGCTTTGGTGCTTCTTGAAGTCTTTTTGTTTTTTTGGGTTTTTTCTTTTGAGACAGAGTCTTGCTCTGTCACCTAGGCTGGAGTGCGGTGACATGATCTTGGCTCACTGCAACCTCTGCCTCCCAGGTTCAAGCGACTCTCCTGCCTCAGCCTTCTGAGTAGCTGGGATTAGAGGTGCCCATCATCATGCCTGGCTAATTTTTGCATTTTTAGTAGAGACAGGGTTTTGCCATGTTGGCCAGGCTGGTCTTGAACTCCTGACCTTAAGTGATCTGCCTACCTCCACCTCCTAAAGTGCTGGGATTATAGGCGTAAGCCACTGTGCCCAGCCATGCTTCTTGAAGTGTTTAGAAATCTTTAGCATAGTCTACCTGGGTGATATAATTATATAACCTGCAAACGGGCTCATATCATATACCACAAGCTCTTTCTAGGATACTTCCAGATCAAACCTATCCACTTTTCTGACCTTTTGGAAGATCTAATAGAAAAACAAGATGCTACAAGAGAACAAGACTGGGCCTTGTTGGACATGAAGTAATAATAACAGGGCCTTTTAACAACTCTCAAGGTCGACACAAAACCTCAACACAGTATAACAGCAGATCTTTGTTGAAACATTCTTGTTAATTGCTATCTTTAAACCTAAAAGGGCTGATCTCAGGCAACTGTGGGGTAAAATGTGGCTGATCCATCAGCCAGTAGAAAATAAGGTTAAGCCAAGAAGGACTATCATGGGGATGGAAAGCTGAACTGTTTGGCTGAATTCCTGTATTTTCAAAGTGATGTCAAGGTGAAGATATTTTTTAGCTACAGAGGCACAAGAAGACATGCTTTATCACCTAAGCTTGTTGACAATGAACTTGTTTCTTGTGTTTCTTGTTTAGCATTTTCCTCAGAGTTATGTCAAGCCAGATCAGGGTTACTTTTTCTAACCCTAGAAGTGAAGGGATTGATGAAATGGTGGGGCCTTGTTGATGGTAAATAAGGATAGTAAAGTTATCCACTGGGCTCTCCCCTATAGCTTTTGAATTGCCTTTTATTCTAACAAGTTTCTATTGAAAACTTACTCTGTGTAAGCAGGTTCTCTGAGGGACTAGTAGGCATCCCAGCTGCCAAACTTCGTAAGGAAGGTTGATCACAGAATCTTCATTGGTCACTGAATAGCGCCAAGTGAGGCATTCTGAGAGGTCCATTATTCCTGTTGGTTTGGGACTAAATGCACAATTCTGTGTAAGGAATGAGTTGTCTTTATTTTCAGCAGACCATTTTGCACTGTGGAGGGTGCCTGGTAAGGGATATGACATACTACAGCACTGCCATGAGCAGCAGAATGCCCAGCACAGGAACAAAAACACATGATGGAGGCCGTGCCAGGAAAACTTCACGTCAGACAAGGCCTGGGCACTAGGAGAGTTTTTCTTTACCTTTTGTTTTTAAGAGAAGGGGTTTCCCTCTGTCACCGAGACTGGAGTGCAATGGTGTGATTTTGGTTCACTGCAGCCTTGATTTCCCAGCCTTAAGCAATCCTCCTGCCTCTGCCCCCAAGTAGCTGGGACTACAGGCATGCACTGCCACACCTAGCAACGTTTTTTTTTAATTTTTTTTGTAGACGTGGGTTGTCATCATGTTGTCCAGCCTGGATTCGAACTCCTGAGCTAAGGTGTTGGGATTACAGCATCAGCCACCCCACCTGGCCAGTTTTCATTACCTTTGAATAGAGATGGGGGCCAGTAATCCTATGTAGATCCAATTTCTCAGTTTATAAAGACGGTTAGGGATCTCAGCTCTCTGGTCACCTTATAAGCTGACTACCTAAACAATGAGAGATATACTAGATAACCTTAGGTGGCACCAATCTGTGTGACCTGTAATGGCATAAACAAAGTGCTTGGAACTGAAGGTTCGCTTCCGGTGAAGGAGTCATAGTCTGACTTAATTGCTGATGAAAATATGATTTGGCAACAATATCTTGATCTAAAGCTGTGCTGTTCAATGTGGGAGCTACCAGGCATGTGTGGCTATTTAAAAAAACTAAAGTTAAATAAAAAGTTCAGCTCCTCAGTCACCTAAGGCACATTTCCACTGTTCAACATTAGTATGGTAGCTAGTGGGCTATCATTAAGGACAGTGAAAATTCATGAAACATTTCTATCATTGTAGAACCTTCTTTGAACAGTGCTGATCTAAGAGAGAAACAAAAAGTCCTCAAAGATATTCTATCAAGAGACAACATCTTCTTGGCTTGACTGGCCATACCTCATAGGCCATATAGTTTTTATTCTGAACCACTAGAGATTTGAAATAGAAAGGGAGTAAGATCTTAAAAGTTTGGTGTGAATCATGAAGCTTAATTTTTTTCAGTAAAGACACCTTCTCTTAGGGGTAAATTATGGATAAGGGTCATAGGCAAGGAGGTGAGAGCAGAGCATGTGATACTCTTTCTCAATCGGGGGAAGCACTAACTTCCCCTGACTGAGAAAGAGCATGTGACCTCATTAGGCAGAAGGAAGTGGTCAAAGGCACTTTTGATACACGCACAAGAAATGAGTGTGCTTCTCTTGAGTTTTCTGGAATTTTCTTGGTTGCTGACCTCCTTACCTTGCTGCATTAAATTAAATTAGTAAAAATAGGTTGGGCTTCCTAAGAAAAGCATGAAACTTAACACCCCTTTCTGACTTAAAAGATTCTCAATGCCTTCCTCAAAATGAGAGTAATTCTTTCATTAGTGCTGTTTCATGTATTAGTTCATTTTTACACTGCTATAAAGAACTCCCTGAGACTGGGTTATTTATAAAGAAAGGAGGTTTAATTGACTCACAGCTCCACATGGCTAGGGAGGCACCAGGAAACTTAACAGTCATGGCGGAAGGCAAAGAGGAAGAAAGACACATCTTACATGGCAACAGGGGAGAGGGTGAGGGTAGAACTACCAAACACTTTGAAACAATCGGATCTCATGAAAACTCCCTCATTATCATGAGAACAGCATGGGGGAAACTGCCCCCATGTTCCAATCATATCCCACCAGGTCCCTCCTTCAGCACATGGATATTCCAGTTCTGATGAGATGTTGGTGGGGACACAGAGTCAAACCATATCAATGTATCTCTAAAACTTTAAAAGGCATCAAGGAGAGGGAAATCAAATAAAGGGAAGACATACTTATAATAGTGTAGGATGTACCTGGTGGCTTGTAGCATGAAGATGCATCTAATCACTTTCAATAGAGTCTCAAGAAACATTTGGTTGTCTCCTCCCACCCAAGTTCTTTGATATGGACTTACGAACTGGGGAATTATGAAGCAATGAAGACTGCTAGGGACCTGGTATCAGGATTGCCAAAGAAAATTTATGAGAGAATAAGGTGTCCCTCATGGAAATTACAAAGTAGGTTAAGACAGATGTCAAGAGGAAGAGGTCATCATTTATAGCACAGCTAGAAAGACTGGAAAAGAGACTGGTAGACAGTGCCAAGAATTGTCTCTTGGTAACTCTAACAAGAGCAGTTTTCATGAACTGATGAGAGAATTAGGAGGGTGGCTACAGGGAATGAAGAGGGAGTTTCCAGGGCAGTAGTGAAAACATGAGTTGTAGACCTTGTTTAGTCTTGGATATTTCACCAGCCTCTCACAAAAGTAAAAACTCTGGTACCCAATAAATACCTGACGAATGAATCTTTGGGAGAGAAAAATCACTGAATGCATAAATTCCTTTATTGAAAATATTGGGATAGCACTGCATTACATATAGTCAATATCCATAAATGAAGGGTCACACATTTCTTCTGAATGGACAATACTGTTTTACATAGAGAACACAGCATCTGGATATGCTCTCACAAGTATAGTATCATGGACTAAACTAGGTCAGAGTGAAGTATATGCAAAATGACCATTTTGTTTTTTTCCATTTTATTTATTAATAGCATATGGTTGCAGATGGTATAAATGGTAAACATATCATGAGACATTCCTGATATCTCACACCAACACATTATTTAACAAGCAGGTTAAGGTAAAACTGCCAGTATACTCAGTTCTCAGTAGAACTTGAGTGCAATGTACACTCAGGCTACAGATTTAAAATTTTATAGCATTCATTTAAATGTGCATGGAATATAAGTGGGTATAATAATTGTTGATCTGATAGGAGGCCATTGGACAATCTTTTCTCTTTTACAAATTGTCTAAAACAGGAGAATAATGTAAAGGAAATATTCTAAGATTTTTTTTTAAATGCAGCTATGTAAATAGTACTTGTTATAAATTTTTCCTTTCAAAAATTACTGGGGAAATAATTTATGACAGACCATTTTGAAGCTTTGGCTATTACCTGAAAATTTTTCCCACTAGCAACCAGTCTTTGGCTTTCATAAAAATCAATAATATTGGTTAAGTAAATCTTTACTATTATTATTTTTGAGACAGAGTCTCACCGTCATCCAGGCTGGAGTGCAGTGGCGTGATCTTGGCTCACTGCAACCTCTGCCTCCCAGGTTCAAGCAATTCTCCTGCCTCAGCCTCCTGAGTAGCTGGGATTACACGCACCTGCCACACCCCTAGCTAATACTTTCAGTAGAGACAGGATTTCATCAAGTTGGCCAGGCTGGTCTCAAACTGGTGACCTCAAATGATCTACTCGCCTTGACCTCCCACATCCACCCACCTTGGCCTCCCACAGTGCTGAGATTACATCCGTGAGCCACAGCCCCCAGCCCTTTATTATTATTTAATAGATGTTTTGTCATGTCAAAATAGGCTGATATCTTAAAAATAGGTTTTCCTTTCTATTCCAATTTTAATATGAATGCATTTCTTTGTATTGTTTTTTTCTCAAATAAATGAGTCTAGAAACCAAGACAATTGGTCCAATTTGATGTTTTTTCATTGGATTTTAAAAATGCAGAAATTAATACACTGAGTCACTTTTAAGACAGAGGCCTGCTCGTTAATGTAAAAGCTTGAAAAAGTTATACAAAGAACACTACGAAAATAAAGTTTTTGTTATTAACACAAATGATCTTATAAGAAGCAAAACATTTTCTTTTCAAAAGCCGAATTTGTTCTAAGTCTAGGTTCACAAAGGTTTTCATTTCTATAAATATGAACTTAAGACTGTGAGAAATGGTTTATTTTTCTTCACACAAATATTTTCAAGGTACGTTAACTAAAAATGTACCCTTTTTTTGACTAAATGGAAAGCTGGCCTATAATAGTCAAATTGATGAACATTCATAATGAATTTTTAGAAATTTAGAATTATACACTCATATATATGTATATGTACATATTCCTACACACACATCTATCTCTATATATCCACATACAGATATATAGACATATGCTGCTTAAGACCTATCACCCTAAACAATCAGGGCAAAAAAAATTCAATATAAAACTATATAAATCAAAGATTTGTTCCCAAAACATAGCACAAAATGTATTCATTTAATATTTCAAGATTTGACACATTAAAAGAAAAAAAAAACTGCCAACACATTTCAGACAATATACAGTAATAAATAAAATTTTCTTTAAAAAAAATCTCATATATTCCCTTTAAGTGCTGTGCACTTCCCATTTTTCTAAAGAGACTAACTTTTTCCATGGCAAATAACAGCTGTACATTTTGGTAATGAAAATTATGCTGATAAATACACAAGGCATGTATATATCCACAGTATCTTTTTTTTCACAGTTACCAAAAATAAAAATTGCATTCAACTCATACCTATAAACACTCTGATTCCTCACTGTATGGATTTGAAGGAAGTGTAAGTCCAAAGTCTTTCCACAACCTGGATTTCAAATTTCTTTCTTCCATGTCTGCCCTCCACATGTACCTTCCAGAATCTTTCTGCAATGTGCTCATGCTCTGAGATGATGGCGGAAAGGAAGCATTGGGTGGGATGAGGCAGCCTGGGCTGGGGCATCTTCTTCCAGCCAGCTTTAGGAAGGCTGATCGAATCCAGTATTTTTAATGTTATATTTTAAGGCAGTCTAAATTTCACTCGAATGCCCACACTTCTAGATCCTGAACTATGAAGTCTTCCTTTTTGGAAAGAATATCATTATTGAAAGTGCTGCAAGAGTTGCTTCGTCCATGGTATAAATCAGCATCTAGCCATAAACCAAATCGTCCCCTGAAAAGGTTTAAAAAAAAAAGGTGAAAACACTTCTATCTTACATGGTACACGGCACAGCTTCTGTTCTCTTTCGCCCCCATCTTCTTTCCTTTATACTATAGACAGGCAAAATTCGAAACTGCTTATAAAGACATGGTACATTTCCTTTATTTCATTTAAATGACTAGTCTTACTAAAAGATAAGTGGTAATAGTGCCTGATTTAGACACATAAATAAATGATTCTATCTTTGATTCTTAAGTGTCATGTGTCGGGCCACTATCCTAATTCATCTAAGCACATGGATTAGTTAAAATCATCTGACACCAAGGTTTTAAATATTGGGTCAAAACAGACCCACTCAGGTGGTAACACGGCAATAAGAAAACAAAAAACCTTACCCTCCACCACCAAGTTCTAAAGAACTTATGTCTCCATTGATAAAATACGAATTTTCTCCACTCCACTTAAAGACCTTGGGGAAGAAACACAAAAAGAAAACAGACATTTTAATCTGGAGAATGAGCAAGGAGGAAACATGAAATAGAATTTGCGTGTAAAAGGGAACCACCTCACCCCATTGACTGAGGAAGCTCCTGACTGCCAGACCCGGCCCACACCAGAATGAGATCTCCCAAAGGGTTATGAAGGAGGGAAGACCTTTCAGGCACACGCTACCTCTGACCTGCAACTCCTCTCTGGATTGCAACCTGAGCAGCCCAGAAGGCCAGGGACCTAAGCAGTTTGCCAGCTACAGTCATAAAGGGCTGATCCAGCCTAGAGTCAATTGAGAAGTTATAGGACAGCTGTTGTCCCAATGCCGATCCCCTTCCCCAATTGCGGACACTGTGACATATGGGAGGTTGGTTATTTCTCCTATCTAGGTACCTTGAAATGAGGGCTGAATGTGTAGAGAAAAGTTTCGCCTGTGCCATAATAGTGGTCACTGAACTTGAAAGGATGAGTCGCATATGCTCCAAAAATCTGTCAAAAGAAAACAGAAATGTTACCTACATTCAAACCTCAATCTCCCAAAGCAAGGCTTTCTGAATTATTTTTGATACATCATGTTCTGAGATCTATTTCAGCAAAGACTTACTAAATTGGCACTCAAATTTAAAAAGATCACCAGTAAAAGAATAAACAAACATCCCCAGCTCTAATTGGAACCCAAGTGGCCAGGCTTCCTGGTGCATGCAAAATTCATCTGACAAAGCTTAGAGAACTTGTTTGTTAAAGGCCAACAATTTGTTCCTATTTTAAAAGACTTCCAAAGTTCACTATGGAGACAAATTTCTGTTACTGAATATGCATAACATAATAGAAACATTAGGCAACAACAAGATATATCTTGCACACAGAAATGAATGGTTGGGACAACAAAGTCACATCTTTTATGCATTTTATACATGGAATCATGGCTGGGCATTTCCCCAGAGAAAATAAACTTTCTTTTGTTTTGTAACAATGAATTATTAATATGCTTATTAAATTAAAACTATATCCTTTTAGTTTTTGAGACAGAGTCTCCCTCTGTCACCAGGCTGGAGTGCAGTGGTGCGATCTTGGCTTACTGCAACCTCTGCCTGCTGGGTTCAAGCAATTCTCCTGCCTCAGCCTCCAGAGTAGATGGGACTATAGGCACATGGCACCATGCCTGGCTAATTTTTTTTTTTTTTGTATTTTTAGTAGAGATGGGGTTTCACCATGCTGGCCAGGCTTGTCTTGAACTCCTGACCTTGTGATCTACCTAGCTTGGCCTCCCAAAGTACTGGGATTACAGGCATGAGCCACCATGCCCAACCAAATTAAAACTATATTTTTAAAATAACTGATTTACTATATTTTAGTTCAAAGTGACTTTTAAGGAACAAAAAGGTGATTTAGATGTGTTTAAGTCAATGGTTCTTCTACTTTTTCTTGTTGGGGGATGGGAGGAGAGCCAAGCCACCAGAGTAGTAGTGCTTTCAGAATGTGTACACCAACTGCCTCAGCATCTCATCCTTCTGTTCAGATCCTGATCAGCACTTGCAGGGGAGAGCATATGTATTTTGAAAATGTCCCTAGGTGATTCAGACATTCTTCCTATTTCAAATCCCACTTGAGGAACATTGCTTTAAATACAGGTTATCTGAAAAAATGTCACAGCATTTTTCAAAAATTATTTTAATTAGATCACAATCTCTGTGTGCTATCTTCTTCACCACTTACACTCAGTTCCTGACCACCTGTAACGCTAAGTATTAGGTAGAAGGCTAGAAACTCTTTCTAACCAGTATTTTTCATGCTTTCTGCTATCCAACCTTTCCTTAGAGCTGCTAAGAACAAAGAAATATAGCACGATAAATCCTTTGCTCTTCTTCTGGTGATCTTCCAGGAAAAGAACTAAAATACAATCGAAATAGACATCTATTTTTAAAAGCATGGTGTTAAAATATGATAAAAATGGCAATAGCCATATGTGGAAGAAAATGAGTCCCTCTCTGATCAGTCAATAAGAAAAGTCCTCTTTACTTTCGCACCATCCATATAATTTTAAATAATTATTTTCTTCCTTAGCTAAAATTTTTCTTTTCTTTTTTTGTCTGAGATGGAGTCTCGCTCTGTTGCCCAACTGGAGTGCAGTGGCACAATCTTGACCCAAGGCAAATTCCACTTCTCAGGTTCAAGCAATTCTCCTGCCTCAGCCTCCTGAGTAGCTGGGATTACAGGCACACGCCACCATGTTCAGCTAATTTTTATATTTTTAGTAGAGATGGGGTTTCACCATGTTAGCAGGCTGGTCTCGAACTCCTGACTTCCTGCCTTGGCCTCTCAAAACGCTGGGATTATGGGCGTGAACCACCATGCCTGGCCTCTTAGCTAAAATTTTCTTAGCAATTCTGTAAATGCACTTAAAGACTAAGGGCTGGGTATTAGGGAATTACTGTTAATTTTGTTAGGTCTATTGCATTGTGATTATGATAAATTTTTTTTTCTTTTTTTCTATTAATGTATTTAAAAATAAATTGCATAAAACAACTTTTCTATAATAGCATTGTTAGCCTATACCATATAAAAATGTAATATATTTAGCAATAGCAGAACAAAGGAATCCAACTGAATAAAGAACAACCTAGAAATGATAAAAGGATGGTCATATAACAAAACATATAAATGTACATTAGCTCTCTTTTCTTCTCTCAACTTCCTTAGCAGACATAAAATTATCGAATATAGTAATCATAACAAATGCTGTATTTGTATATATACAGATGTAACATGCATAACAGTACTGCAAAAAGTTAAAAGATATAATATAGCAATATAGGAGTAATATTTACATACCTCACTAGTAGTTAATAATTAGTCTCTACTAACTTTCTGATGATTGCTCTACTGTTTTCAACAATGTCTGGTGCTATACTCCACAGTCTGATTCAATTAAATATAGGTTCCTTTGCATGGTTAGTTTCTTTGGCCTGACTATGAAGTTTACCCTGACTCCAGAAAGGCTCTCCTTAGCTGTCTCTTTTCTTGGATCTCTCTGGCAAAGTAGATGGTCTACAGTTCAATTTGTTGCCTTCACAGCTACAACCTTCTTGTTTACCACCAAAATTCTCATTGTTTTCTAGAGTGCCCCCATATGTGTCTAAACAAAGTGTGCTCCTTCAGGTAGAGCTTTAGAACTCTATGTCCTGTGGCCTGTCTCCTAGGGAAAAATATCTCTAACCCACTGCTCTGAAGCCAGGACCTAGACAGTGACAGCAGCCTCTGGTCTTGCCTTGCCTCATCTAGCACAAAACTTCCGCCCTGTGAGCTGAAACAAGAGCAGTAGAGACTCCTGTATTCTTGGCCTGCTGTGCCTATGGTAGAGCACAGCTCTGTGAGTGGAGGGTGGGTAGAAGAAGAAAGCCCCCTACCTCTAGGACACACTTGCCTGGATTTTAGTCTAAGAAACACAGATCTTGGGTGGGAGATAAGAAACACAGCAAGAGAGGGATACCATAACCCTTGATAGGCAGCTGTGGGAACAGAGTGCTCCATCTTCTTAGCCACACATGCCCAGAGTGGAACCACTGTCAGTCTCAGTTCAGGGGTTAGGGAAGCAAGAGAGTTGTGCCTCAAGTGCCACAGAATCCCACTGTAATGACTGGAGGTTAATTAGATTTTCTTGAATAATATTCCTTCACTTACTGTATGCCCTTAAAATAATACCCAGAGACTTTAAGTGATTGTTGTTTTTATCATTTCTACCAGCCATGGTTCTTTCACTGGGGACTGATTCTGTGGAATTCCTCACTGCTGCCACTCTACATATATAATATTTTTATAACAGAATTTCATAGAATTCATTTTCAGACACACTTACAGGTGTTGTTCTATCATGTTCTCAAACACAGCAAAGCCACACTTTCCCCTTCGGGGTAGACGGGGTGCAGAAAGCAAAGCTGTGACTGGTTATCCTCAAATGAACCAAGTGCCTCCATGATTCAACAAGACTCCACCCAATGACAAGACCGTAACCTTCAGCTGTAGGCTTCCCTCACAATCTCACAGGAAGGTTGGTAAAACTGTGCTTCATCAATACCTGCTCTGTGTAAACCATCACATTCCTCAACAAGTGTGATATTTTGGTAAATAAACAGGAAAACTAATCTATACTTAGGTGAGAGTCTTTATGTGTGGTCTAAGATAATATAGCCACACTTCTTCTAAAACATAACATCCAATTCTCAAACATTTCACTAAATTCCTGAGTCCATTTTAAACCAACTGTTATCATTATTTTAATTTTTTATCTTGACTCTACCCACTTTTCAGCTTGGATCATTATTAAGCAAAATATCATCAATCAGGAAATAACAAGAGTACAATGGTAGCTAAATTTCTTCCCACACTCTTCAACTACAATAATATTACAATAAAGTCACAAAGATCACTGTTAAGAAAGAGAATGTCTTTGGTGCCCCCCATTTGTTCCCTAATTTTTCCCAAGACAAATCATGACAGCAAAGTTCTGTTTCCCCTAAAATGATCCCATGTATACGGCTCATTACAATGTGACACATCTCAGTATAAAAATTTTGTGCTTCACAGTAAGCTACCCAATGGTAGCAGGTACTATTAGATATTTGCTGAATGGATGAATTAATAAATGAATGAATGAATGTCAGGTAAAATCTGCTTCAATGCCAGAAAATCTGCTTAATGCCACATCTTACAATCTGAAAGGAATTTCTTAATAAAACACAGATCAAACTGAAATCAGCAATGAGCAGATGTGAATGATGCCTTCCTTTTGTGATGCGAGAGACTGACTGGAAAGTGACTGAAAAAAACTTGGAGAGATTTCACTCATATTCCGAGCTGACTTGCAGCAGAGATAACAGTGCAGGGTAGACAGGGGTAATAACTAGTTTTCACTAGTACCTCCAAGAAAGACCAATGGTAATACGGGCAAAAGTGCAATTGGGAATGGTACAGTGCATTCTCTGTGGTTTCTTAGCAGTTGGGCTCCTCAGACACAACACATCATGGCCTTGACTAGCTCTCCATTACATCCAAAATGCAGGCAAGGTTTGTGGGCACTACTTTGGCTACCTGGGAAAGGTCCTGGTATGGCACTGGAACTTATTTCTGCAACTATCTCCAAATCCAGATCTCACTCTACCCCAACTTTCCAGCTTTTAGGCTGTAGGATATCATTATACTTTTCTACTGCATGGTGATTGAAAAAAGCTCCTTAGAATGTGACTGTATTTGGAAGTATAATCCATTTTCATTTTGGAGTTGATTCTGAAATATGCAGGGGTGAAGTGCCATAATGATTGGAATTTACTTCAGAATACTTCAGCAGAGAAAAAACAGAGAAGGCAAAAATCCTGTTAACTGTGGAATCTGGGTGATGAGAGTATATGCTACTAGACTCTTTACTGTTGGGGATTTTCAGAAATTATCATTAAAAAATCTTATTTATGAGAGGAACAGGCCTCACCTGATTATCCATATCTTTGATGACCAATAGGACAGGACTGTCTAGTGACGCCGATTTCCGGTAGAGTGTCTTCAAGCTGGTCCCGTGCTCTAATGTGCTATAGGCCAGTCTCCATGGATACCCTTGCACCCTTGCAGGAAGGCGTCGGGCCAGCTACGAAGCCAAAGAGAGAGATGTAAACAGACGGTCCACACACAAATTGCTCATGAACATGTGGCACAAAACAAATGTCTGCTGCTCAAACTTAGTGTCATATACTTACATAGTGCCCCTCCTCACTCTGGCAAATATTTGCTATTTGCTATTATAAACCAAGAAAATTATTGCTTGACAGTGTTTACCTTGGCAATGATACTGCCCAGGAGGTGTTTTCCCATTCAGGGACATGACTATGGAGTTCCTATCCCACTATATGTTTGAAGACACAGATCAAGCTGGATAAACGGGTATAAACTAGACACATGCCCTTCCTTTCCACTTCAACCTGGCTTTTACCAAACAGTTCATATTTTCCCAATTTTTCTTTCTAAACACTCAGAGGCTCAGAACTGCTACTGACAACTGCAGCTTTGCACAGAAGTGAGAGTGAAAAAACAGGGATGTTTAGTGTTAGAAGTCAGGTGTTGTCTGTTCTTATTGCACCTATATATTTCACCTGCATCAACATTTAGTTTAAACTTGGCCATATATAGCCGATAATGTACACCTCTTCAAGAATATTACCAGAGGCCATGAAATGCTGAGTCTTCAAAGTGCTTAAAATTAGTTCCAGTGTCTGTGTGAATCCCACATCTCTATAACTACTTGGTCAAGCTTCTTGGTTTTCCTGGGTCCTTAGTGGTTCCTCAGTAAACTAGGGAGCTGAACTTAATGATTCTTAAAGGTCTCAAAATTCTGGTCTCTAAGCTAACCGATGAGGAAAATGCCAGAGATTCCTTACTTACAGTTAAAACATAAGTGTATTACAATACTTCATAAATTCCAAGTAAACATTCGGAAACTATAAAGTACACAAAGAATATTATAGAAAAAGGAAAAACTGTCCTAAAAGCAGGTATAGTTCATAAAGCAAGCAGAGTGAATGTGTTATATTGCTTTTACTGAGCCCTATACACCAACGCTATTGGAACTCCCCAACAATTACAAGGATAAATTTGGATCCTTTTTAAGTGCATTAGGACTATGGCAGGGCGCTTCAATTTTTTACTTTTTAAGAATTAGGAATGGCTTTTCCTTCAGGTTTGAGAGAAGGATGTTAGTGTCTGACCAACTCCTTGTACTACCAAGGCAGCAGGGAATGCGACTTTTCAGAGGCAGAGCAGGGGGTACTGGCCTCAGTGGGCTGCTGGCAGTCCTTCTTCCTCACAAACTTCATCCTTCAGCCCAAGGGAGAAGGACAAATGCTTTCAGGGATGGGAATTTTTTAATTTTTGAGACAGAGTCTCCTCTGTTACCCAGGCTGGAGTACAGTGCAATCTCAGCTCACTGCAACCTCTGCCTCCTGGGCTTGAGCAATTCTCCTGTCTCAGCCTCCCGAGCCTGGCTAATTTTTGTATTTATAGTAGGGACGGGGTTTTGCCATGTGGACTAGTCTGGTCTCAAACTACTGACCTCAAATGATCTGCCCGCCCCGGCCTCCCAAAGTGCAGGGAATACAGGCTTAAGCCACCATGCCTGGCCAAGGGAAATGTTTCCTAAAGCCTAGGAACCCCCACCCTTAGTGGCTAGGGTGAGCCAACCTGCTCAATGTGCATGTTCTCCAGCAGCGCGCTGGGGGGCCGCAGGACAGGCAGCACCTCCTCGTCCTCGTCTTCATAGTAGCTGCACGTGCTCTTCCTGCGCTTTGCCTCCTCAACGGTGATGATCTAAAATGAGAAAACAAGCCAAGAAAAATAACTTATTCGCTTTTCTTCTAACTGCTAACAAAAAAACCACTCCAGGGACACCACTGCCGGAAAAGGTGGTGCTTCGGCAGCAGGAGATCAATTGAACATGACTTTGGGGAAATGGCTAATTTTTCAATTTCAGGACAAATGCACAATTTAATACAGTACAGTCGGCTGGGCAACGTGGCTCACACCTGTAATCCCAGCACTTTGGGAGGCTGAGGCGGGCGGATCACGAGGTCAGGAGTTCGAGACCAGCCTGACCAATATGGTGAAACCCCGTCTCTAGTAAAAATACAAAAATTAGCCAGGCGTGGTGGCATGCACCTGTAATCCCAGCTACTCAGGAGGCTGAGGCAGAGAATCGCTAAACCTAGGAGGCAGAGGTTGCAGTGAGCTGAGATCGTGCCACTGCACTCCAACCTGGGAGATGGAATGAGACTCCATCTCAAAAAAAAAAAAAAAGACAGTACAGTCGAGGCAGTTAATATATGTAAGTTAAAGTCATGAGTCACAAGGCAAGATGTGGTAGCTCATGCCTGTAAGCCCAGCACTTTGGGAGGGCCAAGGCAGGAACATGGCTTGAGCCCAGGAGTTCGAGACCAGCCTGGGCAACGTGACAGTACCCCCATCTCTATATAAAAATAAAATAAATAAAGTCATGAGTTTTCCAGTTTTACTCTTGCTGCTGATTGCTTGGTCACTGAAAATAGTACATAACTCCAAAAGTAGAGCTTTCTACCTTTGAAATACCCTAAATAATTCTCCTTTAGTCTTTAGATTTAGCATCTGAATTGTTAAAGGACTAAGCAGAGATCATTCAATGAATAAGTCTTCTATAAAGAGGGAGTTTGCAATGGTAAGTATAGTTTTTAATCAGGTTCCTGACGTTTTCTCTTAAGGTTGTGCACATAGAAACCACTTCCATTAGAAATAATGAATGGTAACAGCTACCAGGAGCAAGAGCACAAAGAAGTGTGAAGCTTTAGTCTAAATTACAATTAGGTTACAATTATTTATGCTCCATTCAGAGATGATAAAAATATTCTCCCCTTCTAAACTGAGAAACATCATATTGTACAAAACATTTATTATTTAACTATAGCTATGCTTATGAACTATAACAGTTCATTTTACCCTAAAGTCAATTTTTGGCCCTTCTTAAATTCTGGATTCATCACTGGATTATTTTCAAATTGAAGGATGTATATTACGTTTGTTGGCCTTTTGTCTAAGATCAAGTGAAGGATTATATTAGACAACTAGTTCACCAAAATGTTGGGGCACCAATATTAATGATTTTGTATTATAGAGAAAAAACATTAAGTTAAATCCAGTGCAGGTTGTTAGCTACTCAATTTCCAAAACGCACAATGACAGATACAAAGTACCTGCGGGTGTCTGAGCCAGAGTTACAAGTAAGAAAATGAAGCTTACTAATTTTACCATCTTTTGGGCGGGTGTTTCTGTAGTGAAAACACTATCAAGAATCACAAACCAAGCATTTTAAGTGTATGAAAAAAACACCCTGTTTTTGGCAAACTCTGTATTTATCACAGGTATAAAAGGAGGCTGTGGAACGACAAAAATGAAATATGGATTTCTAGCTCCAAAGAGAAGAGGTAACCACACCATAACCATCTCCGAAATGAACAAAATACCTGCTGTAGAAATGGCAGTACAATCCTTTCTAATTAAATAACTTTCTAAACACTCAGCGGCAGATCACTGAGAATTCACCAGCACCTTGTTAGCCCTCCCGACACACTCCAACATACCTTCACAAAAGGCTCTTGGTCACGTCTGGCACAATAGAAAATCTGGATGTCCAAGGGTAATCTTTGGCCTCTCATTGTGAGCAGTGAGAAGTGCGACTCTCTCTCTAATTAGGAACAAGTTTTCTCTCTACTCTGCTTCCACACCACAGTTACTTGCAGCCACGCTGAGCTACAACTGTTTTCTCAATATCAGTTTCCTGCATGATTAAGTTTCTGTTTCCCTTAGGAGAAAGTTCAACATTTCTACAGGAACACACCCAAATTAGGATTTAAAGCAAACACACTTCCTGCCAGGCATCGCTGTGAGACTGTAAAATGACACGTTCACCTTTGAAACGGTAGTTTCCCAACACTGATAAAACTCCATTGTTATTTTTTCTTTTACTTCTTATGCTTTTCTTCCTAATCTCCTCCAGTGAACCTAGCTTTTCTAGTCCTGCCTTTTCAGACTTCCCCCCACCCCCAGCACCCTCTTTAAGGCTAAAGCTCCATTTAAAATGGTGTGCATGTTCCCTGGTTTCAGCTTGAATCTCAAAGGAAGGATGAAAAGGAGCTTTCACTGGAGGTAGGTTTCATTACAGTTAGAACAAACGGCATTTCACTTCAATACCATGTTGTGCTTATTGGTGGGAGGGACTTAAAAGAATGGGATAAAACCTAGTTTACATGAGGCTGTGAGAGATGTCATCTTACATGTAGTTTTATAAGGGTTGGCAAAGTAATACTTATATTTTTACATTTTAGAATGAGTCTTAATGACTAATAGGCATGGTGAGTCCTCCTCTACACTTCACATCAGATGTCAGGAGGTTAGAAAGAAATACAGATCACCACTGGACCAATTTTCACTGATCTTTTGGTGACTCTTCCAGATTTGAAGTGGCCTTTCAGTCTTGGACACAGCTGTGGGGATCAGGGTGCTGTTGTATGGCTCACACTGCGCGTCAGTTATAAAGAAGACTCTGGCAGGTACTTACAGACCAGTCTCAGGCCAGCAGAACTGATTCTCAATGCAACAGCCTGGGCACAACCTGGGGCAGAATGCCAGAAAGACAACACTCTCCTCTGGGTCCCTGGCACTTCAGGACAGCAGATATTTATTGAGTACTTCCTATATGATGGTGGGCGCCAGGTGCTTTGCCAGGCACAGGGACATAAGGCAGCTCAGAGTCTCCAGCAAGTGAGGAGACAGTAGAGAGACAATTCTAAATAAATGGAGGCCATTCCATGTGATTGCAAAAGGAGAATAAAATCTCAGGACCCCAAACTCACCACAACAAAGGGGAAAGTTAAGCTTGGAAACTGAGCAACGCACACAAAAACCATCTTTACTTTTGTTTCTAAACAGGTGTCTCCCCAGGTGGTCTCCCTCACCTGGACAACGTAAACTGACAGCTTATTTTCACAAATCTGAACAAGAGGAGACTAGAAATTGTCCTACTGCCCACCCCCAGACCAATGCATACTGGACTTCTTCCTCTACTGTTTATATTATGTAAAGTGCAGATTTACTGAGTATAAAACATACATAATTGAGGGTTCCTGTACTCTCTCCTTTGCACATGCAACATGTGGATTCAGTGCACACTAATCAAAGCCTCACAAGAATGTAACTACATTTCTCATTTTTTCTACCTTTGTTTTTTTCTTTTCTCCTTCTCCTCCAGCCCACTTTTCCCCCTTTAAATACTGAAGCCCTCAAAACCCTTTTCAGAAAAAGTGCAGGCCACAGATCCTACTGTGGTGTGTGTCTCTTTTTCCTTCCCCAACAAGATGCATTCTCAACCTTAGCAAAATAAACCTCTGTATTAAGTGAGATCTGTCTCAGACATCCTTTTTAGTTTATAGGATACAGATGCAGCAGAAGCTCACAGGAGGTGGGGGTAACCTGAGGGGTTGTGAGATAGCTTATTCACAGAGGAGATGGTGCTTCAGTTTGAGAGCAAGGATGGGGTGTGAGAAGATGTTCCAGGGACAGTTTCATTACAGTTGATATGGCATGAATACAGAGATGGATTCTGGCTTCACATTGGCTGAAGGAGAGAGGGCAAGGAAAGCAGAGATGAGGAAGGTAGATGAGACAGGAAAAGGAGCAAGAGTAGAGAAAATGAAGAACATTGATACCATGAAGGAGCTTAGAACTTACCCTACAGGTCAGTGTTTCCAAAACATGACTGTTCCTCAAAATTATCTGGGAGCTTTGAAAAAATACAGTTTCCAAGATTCCTCCTCCAGACCTACTGAATTAATTCTCCAGTAATATAAGGATCTAAGATCTAGTTTTTAAAAATCTCCAGGTAGTTATTCTAATGACTAAACAGGTGGGTAAGAATCAGCAGAGTCAATTAGAAGAACACTGAAGGTTTTAAGCACAGAGTATCCAAGCTTGCTTATATATTTAAATGACAAGTTAGCCCCATAGTTTATATGTAAGATCTTTCAATATGATGAAGGAAACATCAGAAATTATTAAATAGTGCTGGGAAAAAAAATGACTATTAAAAATATCTATCATACATCAAAAAATCAACTACAGATTGAGTACAGAGTTTAATGTTGCATGGCCACTTATACATAAAAGCACTAGAATAAAAAACAAACAAGCAAAATTAACAAAAAGCAAAATATAAAAAACTGTCAAAAACATAAAAGACAAATAATTAATATCTTTAATCTTAAAAAGCTCAAAGAATGTGATGAAACTCTCAAGACTTCTTTAGAAAAAACTGGTAAAATAAGCACGCATCATAAAGAACACACACAAGTGGTGAATATACATTTATTTGTGCTCTATACTCAATAGTAATCAATAAAATAAAAATTAACTTTCAAGATACAATTTCTCAGCTTCCAAATTAGCAAACAGTTTTAGAAAGAAGCAATAGCAACAGTATTTTCTATTGGCAGAAGAACAATGAGCAGGATATTCTGCACATTGCTGGCAAGTTAACTGGGCATTATATAAAAAATTAGGAGCCTTAAAAAGTTACTACCACGCAGTTTCACTTCCAGAAAACTAAGGAAATAATAAGGGCTGCAGATCATCTCATCCTTGTGAAAAGCCTGAACCAATGCAATAATTAGGTTGCCTAAAGTGGGGAACTGTAAAATAAATTATAATAGAGATTAAAAATACTATGCAACAATTAAAAATGAGGCTCTTCACACAAAAGATGAAATACCTAGAATACATTTAACCAATGAGGTGAAAGACCTCGACAAGAACTATGAAACACTGCTGAAATAAATCACAGATGACACAAATGAAAAAACCTTTTATGCTCATGGATTGGAAGAATCAATATTGTTAAAATGGGCATACTGCCCAAAACAATGACAGCTTCAGTGCTATTCCTATCAAACTACCAACATCATTTTTTGCAGAACTAGAGAATACTAACTATTCTAAAATTCATATGAAACCAAGAAAGACCCCAATAGCCAAAGCAATCCTAAGCAAAAAGAACAAAGCCAGCGGGATCACATTACTGAACTTCAAACTACCCTATATGGCTATAGTAATCAAAACAGCATGGTACTGGTACAAAAACAGACATATAACCAATGGAACAGAATAGAGAACTCAGAAATAAAGCCACAGACCTACAGCCATCTGTTCTTCAATAAAGTCAACAAAAATAAGCAATGAGGAAAGGACTCCCTATTCAATAAATGGTGCTGGGGAAGCTGGCTAACCATAGGCAGAAGAATAAAACTGGACCCATATCTTTTACCATATATACACCCAAGACGGATTAAAGATTTAAATGTAAGACCTCACACTATAAGAATCCTAGAAGAAACCCTAGGAAAAACCATCTGGACATCAACCTTGGGAAAGAATTTACGACTAAGTCCTCTAGAGCAACAGGACAAAAACACCAACTGCCAAGTGGGACTTAATTAAACTAAAAAGCTTCTGCACAAGCAAAACAAACTATCAACAGCGTAAACAGACGCACTACAGAATTGAAGAAAAGATTTGCAAACTATACATCTGACAAAGGTCTGATATCCAGAAACTTTAAGAAACTTAATTCAACAAGCAAAAAAAAAACCCCAAATAAACCCATTGAATAACAGGCAAATGTCATGAACAGACACTTCTCAAAAGAAGACATGCATGACGCCAACAAATACATTAAAAATTGCTCTACATCTCTAATCCTCAGAGAAATGCAAATCAAAACCACAATGAGATATCATCTCTCATCGATCAGAATGGTTATTATTAAAAATTCAAAAAGCAACAGATGCCAGTGAGGCTGAGGAGAAAACATAACACTTACACGCTGTTGGTGGGAATATAAATTAGTTCAGCCACTGTGGAAAGCAGTTTGGAGATTTCTCAAAAAAAATTAAAGTAGAACTACCATTCAACCCAGCAATCTCATTATTGGGTAAATAACCAAAAGAAAACAAATTGTTCTACCAAAAAGACACACATACATTTATGTTCACTACAGTGTTATTCACAATAGCAAAGACATGGAATCAACCTAGGTGCCCATCAATGGTGGACTGAATAATGAAAACATGGTACATATACACCATGGAATACTATGTAGCTATAAAAAAGAAATCATCTTCTTTGAAGCAACATGGATATAGGTGCGGGCCACTATCCTACGCAGATTAATATAGGACCAAACATTGCATGTTCTCACTTGTGGTATCTCAACATTAAGTACACCTGGACATAAAGATGGCAATAGACACTGGTGACTACTATGGGGGTGAAAGGAGAGAGAATAGGGTTGAAAAACGATTGGGTACTATGCCCAGTACCTAGGTAGTGGAATTGTTTGTACCCCAAACCTTAGAATTACACAATATACCCATGCAACAAACTAGCACATACACTGGATCTAAAATAAAAGTTGAAAGAATATTAAAGAAATAAAAACACAGCTAAATAAGACAGAAATAAGGCTCTTAAAAGCCTTTAATAATATGATACAATTCTTCCAATATGTCATGTGAGAAAAGCCAGATACAAAACAATATTTACATCATAATCCAATTTTGCAAAAATGAAGTAAGACTCACTCTTCACCACCACATAGAAAATGCTCTTAAAAATAGAAAAAAAAAAGTTGTGCAGAAGTTTAAAGTGGTGTGAGATATTATTTAAATATTTTTTGCCAGGCATGGTGGCTCACACCTGTAATCCCAGCACTTTGGGAGGCCAAGGTGGGTGGATCATTTGAAGTCAGGAGTTCAAGACAAGCACAGCCAACACAGTGAAAACCTCGTCTCTACTAAAAATACAAAAAAATGAGCCAGGTGTGGTGGTGGGTGCCTGTAATCCCAGCTACTTGGGAGGCTGAGGCATGAGAATCACTTGAACCCAGGAGGTGGAGGTGCAGTGAGCTGAGATCATGCCACTGCACTCCAGCCTGGGTGACAGAGTGAGACCCTGCCTCAAAAAAAAAAAAAAGTTTTCTCCATTGTACTTTTCTGTCATTTCAAAATTTCCTGTAATACATAAGTATTACTTTTATAAAGTCAGGAAATGAGGTTTATTTATGAATTTTGCACATGGGAGGATGGACTGGTGGGTGGGCTGAGTCTGGAGGTGCCCTTGGGAGTCTGAAGGAAGGGTGCAGGCAGCCTGATGAGGGCAGTGGTGGTGGAGGGAAGCAGAGGTCCCTGCTTCCCTTAAGATCAGAATCAACAAGATTCTGCCTCAAGATAACTGACTAGCTATGATGATGAAAGAGAAGAATCTAGAATGCTATTTAGGTTTTTGGCAAGGGCACCAGTAATTAACATGGGGACATGTGAGAAGAAGCAAGTTTTGGGGAAAGATGAATTATTTTGGACATACTGAGGATTAGAGATCTGTTAGCTTCCAAGATAGTACAAGATTCTCCTTCCCCATCCACCAAGGGGAACAACACTGTGACACTGGCTTGGCTTCAGGTAATGCTAATGAGCTGAACTTGCTCCTGCACAGGGGGAAATATAGCCAGCAATTTTCTCCTCATTGCACTTTTGGACTCTGTCTTCCACGTGGAGAGAAAGCAGGAATAAGTTGGCCTGAACCATCTCATCACCTCTCTCCAACTATCTTTTCTTTCCATGTGTCATGAGCATTGGCAAAGGCACTAGGAGCTTGGGGCAGGCCAACCCATTGCTTCCTTCTTCTCCATCCCTTCCTCTCTTCTTCCACTACAGGTGTGGAGACTGTCTTGCAGGACTTTCCCTCTCTTTCATTCCTCTTTGAGGCTGGGCCAAAGAGGGCCTGGGGCAGACTGCTCAACCCATCTCCCCAGCTAGAGATGTTGAACTAGAACTCTCTTGCTCTGCATACCTCTTTAGTGACTTTTCCCCTAGTGTTGGTACGTGTAGCCTCTTCTCCTCCTGGAAGACTTGAGACTCATGTCTAAGATGAGAGGAAATAGGCAGAATAGGCCTTAAGAAAACTGCTTTAGCTCTAGATATTCAGGCTGTCCTAGCCAGGTAAATACTGTATCTTCCCTTCAGTCTAAACCTTCTCTCCAGAACTCTGCATTGGGGTGAAAGACTATAGCCTCAGTTTGAAGATGCACCCTTTCTGGTTTTGTTTCCTTTGTGCTTATATTTCATGCAGGCCTCCTAGCCAAGGATAACTAGGAGAAGACAGGACTTGATATTCTTGAGTCCCTTGGCCAGAACACCAGTATCACTCATCTTTGCCTCACGGAGACTTCTAGCAGGGCCTGTGGAACATCTATACCCTCTAGAGTAGTAGCTCGGGAGAAAAAGGCATGTGGAGAGGCAGGTGCGGGATCAGCACTATGGGCCACAAGAGCAGATGAGCTCATCTAAAGA